TGTCAAATAATATGCAGCCTGCCAAGTGCTCAATACAGGGGARCAATTCCTGCCCTAGTCCTTTTTGCCACATCTGACATTTATGGGGAGAAAACCATGTTAAAATACAAATATTTTCGCKCATAGTACTAACCAACGCCACAAGGTGGCAGAGTCATCTGCTGTGAAGTATTGCTCACCAAACTTCACTTTCCAAAGCAAACACAGTTCCAGAGCTTCCCTTTTCAAGGGGGAACTACCCAGTCTCTCTCCACCCCTGCATTCGATTTCACAGAGTAAACACTGATGGTGGGTGTAGCTTCCCTGAGAGTGAGATTTTGTTATATGGAAATATTACATGGCAACTTACATGGCAATAACCATTTTGCTGCTACTGCTAATGTTTCTCAGCCCTATTAAACCTGTAACAGTAAATCCCCTCTTTTGCTGGTGGAAGCAACACCTCTGCTAGGCAACAGTTCTTTGGTGTCTAATTTTGGCATTAATATCATGACACTTATCCGCAGACATCCTGGTCCTTTGGGCTGGAAGAGCCAATGTTTTGCTGGTTACTTCTAAAAAGAAAGACACCTGGCAATGATGCATCTCTGGCTTGGTGCTAAAAAGTTCTGACAGCTGATCCTTTCAGTGTTGTTGAAAATAGATAGTTATCTGTCTGTACACATATATATACACATTTGCTTCCCTGTCCSTCACTTCTGCACTGTCCTTTTCTGGAGATTACACATACAAAATTGTTATGTATATTGTGTCTCTCTAAATGTATGGTTATAATTTCTACATGTGTTTAGACAAGAGTGCTTGGCAGTCCTGAAGAATTAACTATTCTTGACTCTGTCAAACGGAAATCAACCCCTGCATATATCCCAAGTCCAGCCAGACTCCCATGTAGAAAATGCACATTTATGCCTCTGTTCATCACTTCTATACGGTCCCTTCTTTGAGCTTTGCTCCATGCCACAGGGTTAAATGGCTGTGCTGAGCCTCCTGACCCTTGTGAAGGCTTCGTTGATGGGGCAGATCAAGCTTCAGAGACAATTATGATTCTGGAGGGTCCCAAGACTGCTGCAGGAGCTGGCAGAGCTGGAAAGAGCCAGACTCAGGACTGGCTGCTTACAAATAATCTGTCCAAGCAAAGCCTGCTCCAAACAGTGCTGTTTATCAATTGCAGAAATCCCCAGTTTATTTCAACAAGAATGAGATCAAATTCCTGGACCTCCTTTGCTTTTCCTGTCCAGAGGTCAGGGATTTGCTTTGGGTGGACTTTCTCTTTCTTACTGATGAAATACATGTAGACCTCCTCCTTGCATAGGAAATCAGAYGTTTGAAATGTCTGTGAGCTCACACCCTGTACATGAGGCACATGGGACTGAAGCAACTGATTCCTTAAATGAGAACATGTGAGTAGTTAGAATTCAGTGTCTACTCCTGGCCCCTGTTGTTAATTTTWTCTGTGCATTGTGTGGGTTTTCACCATTGAACTTCACCAAATGTCTAAAATGCAACTGCAGTGTGTCAGCATGGGCATATCCTGAGTCCTTCCCACAGGATGAGGTGCATGAGCAMGTTCATCTGGGCTGATGCAAGGGGAAACACTACACTTCCCCTTCCACTAGCAAAAAGAGGTAGGACTGCCCCAGGGGAATGGATCTTTTTGGTGGCAGCTTGAAGTTAAGATGAAAAATGAGTGAAAGGGGATCTCTACTGCATTATTTTTTTCCCAATCACTGTGCATCTTCCCCTGACCCCCAAAGGCTGAGACAGAGCAATTATATTCTTGATCAAAATATGCCACCTGCTGTTTGTCAGAAGGGAGACATGTATAGTCCGTGAAGCCAGTGCATAAACTATGTCTTTCCATAAATTGGAAATACATTTGCACTGCAAAACAGTCAGAAATCCTGGGTACCACAGGTTAGAGTTTGTCCTTGGACACCACACAAAAATCGCCTGGCAACACTGCACTCTTAGAATCATAAAGGTTGGAAATCACCCACAAGATAAGAGACTCTAACTATTTGCATAGAACCACCATGATCACCTCCAAACCTTATCCAAAATTGCTGCATACACATGCCTTCTGAACACTTCCAGGGATAGTGATTCCAGCACTTGCCTAGGCAGCTTATTCCAACGTCTGACAACTCTTTCAGTGAAGAAATTTTTCTTAACATTCAGTCTAAACCTTCCCTGTTGCAACTTGAAGCTATTTCCTCTTATCCTGTCTCTTTTCTCCTGTCTGGGAGAAGACACYAACTCCCACCTTGTGACAACCTCTCTAGACTGAAAATATCCCCCKGAGCCTCCTTTTCTCCAGCCTAAACAATGCCATTTCCTTTAGCTGCTTCTCACAAGACTTGTGTTCCCTTCTTTGTTGCCCTCCTCTGGACTCAMTCCARGACCTCAATGTCTTTCTTGGAGTGAGRTACTCAAAACTGAACASAGGATTCGAGATGTGACCTCACCAGTGCTGAGTACAGATCCCTTCCTTAGTCCTACTGGCCACACTATTTCTGATGGCCAGGATGCCATTGGCCTTCTTGGCCACTTGAGCACTTCTGGCTCATGTTCAGTCACTGTCAACCAGCACTCTCAGGTGTTTTTTTGCCTGACAGTTTTTTGAGCACTTTCCCCCAACCTGTAGCACTGCATGGGTTTGTTGTCACCCATGGGAAGGAATTGGCACTTCACCTTGAACCTCATACCACTGGCTTTGTCCAATCCATCCAGCCTGTCCAGATCCCACAGCACACCCTTCTTACCCTCCACAAGATCAATGCTCCCACCTAGCTTGGTGTCATCTGTGGSCTGATTGAGAGTGCACTCGATCCCCTCACCCAGATAATTGATAAGGATATTAAACAGGACTGGCCCCAACACTGGAACTTTTCCTCATCCCCTAAGTGGATAGAAGGTGATCAGTTGTCATAGAAGGTGATCAGTTTGGCTAAGCAGCAGCTGCCTTTCACAAACCTATCCTGGCTGGGCTGATCCCCTGTCTGTCCAGTGTGTGCCACATGTTGGCACTCAGGACAATCTGCTCCATGACCTTCCCTGGCAGTGAGGTCAGGCTGACCCAGACCTGCAGTTCCCTGGATCCTCCTTCTGACCCTTCCTGTCGACACAAACCACAGTTGCTGACTCCAGTCAGTGGGACCTCCCTGGCTCACCAGGACAGCTGACAAATGACTGGAGGTGGCCTGACAAACTCTTCCACCAGCTCCCTCAGTGCCCTGGGATGAATCCTGTCAGGGCCTATAGACTTGTGTATGTCCAGATGTGTAGCAGGTCACTGACCATTTCCTCCTGGRTTGTGGGGGCTTCATTCTGCTCCCCAGCTCTGTCTTCCAGCTCACAGGGCTGGGTACCTGGAGAACAACTGATGTTGTTATTAAAATCTGAGGCAAAGAAGGCATGAAGTAGCACAGTCTTTTCCACATCTTTTGTGAYTATTGACCTGCAAATCTGCAAATGCTGTGAAGCAGCAAGGCCAGAGCCTGGACAACCTTGCAGATTAGCACCTCCAATCCAAGAGCCRAAGCACACAGTTGGCACTGCCTGGAAAAGCCACAGTGCAAGCAAACACCCCTGCTGCTTCCAGCTGAAAGGCCTTAACACAGGGCAAGGAAGGGTCTAGCCAGGACAGTACAAACTGCTATTGAAGCAGATTACAAGGCAACACTCAATATCTGTTTCACAAGAGCAGTGATAACAGAGGAGGCCTCTGGGAGGAAGCAYTGCCCCTGTGGAAGGGAAATTTCTGAATGGAGAGACCATAACATGCTTTAACTTTTGGTCAGCCCTGAAGTGGTTAGGTGGCTAGGAGGAGGTGAGGTTTCTTGAGACTTTTTAGCTGGTACCTGGGCCTGGATGGCTTTTGGGATGCTATTGAAATGACATTCTGTAGCATTGAGGCAGAACCACAACCCTCTTTGATGTCGTGTGTGCAATCCTGCTTCAGCAATG